TAAGTACATTTTAAGTTATGAAAAGAAAATGAGGAGGAAAAAAGAATTAAAATTCTTTTTTCACCTTTTTCATTAGACAAAAAATGAGAAAAATTAAATTAATCGATTATAAACATTAAAAGAATTTGAATTTTATTATGATGATGATATAATTATTATTGTTGTTGTTATAATGGTGTTGGAAAAACAATTCAAATTTTCAAATTCAAATCTCCAATATATTATTTAGATTTTAAAAGATATTGATTCTTTTAGGATATTGTTTAGAATTGAAATATATTGTATTTATTTTAGAGATTTGTTTCCTCTTTTAAGATTATAATGTAAGGTAAATAAATAGAGACTCTTGAGATGAGAACAATTACCCGATCTGTAGAGGGGGTCACTATCTTAAATAAAAGAGGAGGTCATATGAAGGAGGATTTTCAAGTTTCGCTAGAAAACTTGTGAATGATGATTTTCAAGTTTCGACAAAACACTTGTAAGAAAGGGGTTTTCAAGTTTCTTCCATAAAACTTCTAATAAAGGGGTTTCGAAGTTTTACCTATAAAACTTGTGAGGAACGGATTTTTAAGTTTAACCCACAAAACTTGAAGGGAAGATTTTCATGATATATGTAATATATTTTGAAATAAATAATAAACATCCTTGTGGACATAGGCATGGGGGCTGAACCATGTTAAATAAATTTGTATGATCTTTCTCTATTCTCTATTTCTTTTATAGTACTATTTTAATATAATTCTCGTCATTATTATTGTGTGTAAAAGAAAAGAATTTTTTTTTCTAACAAATAAGTGTCTTATGTCTCTATTTTAAAATTTAAAAATAATAAAAAGATAAGAAAAAAATGATAAAGTGAATAATTACTTGAGATGCGAGATTGATTTGGAAAATGAGATGGGTAAAAAAAGTAAAAAAAGAAGAGAGAATTTAAATAATAAAAAAATAGTTTAAAAGTAGTTATTAAGATATTATTTTATTATTAGAAGTATAAATTGATTTCAGTATTGTGTTTTACGGTATATTTGATTAATGATAGATGACAAATAAATAAAAAAGCAACCTTCTTTATCACGCGTTGTGGCGGTGGTACTACTCTACCTCATTGTCCATGTTGCCTTGGCTGCAATAAACGTCCTTTTAAGAAAACAAGAAAACAAGTTGTATCTCTTTCTTTTCAAATGTGTTGAGAATAAAATTGTGTGGGATCCATTATCTTTCTTTTTTATCTTGTTTTTACTTCTTTATTAACTAGTTTGTCATCTTCTTCTTATGTTCTTTGTCTCCTGATTTTTTCTCTCCTTTTCCAAATCAGCCACGCATAGAATTAAAATTATTCTATTTTATATTATTTATTTAATATCTTCCTACTATATCATTGTTTTAATTACTTCACACTTCATTTTATTTTTTTCCTAATTATCTATTTATAGGTTTTTCTATCTCTTTTTATTAAAAATAAAATCATAAAATATTAGTTTGAAAATTTCACATTGATTTGTTATAACTAAAACACCATGCACAAATGGAAAACAATTTAAACTTTATAAATTTATTTTATAGATTAAACTAGACTTAAACTCACATTTTTAAGTTAATATTGAAATCTATCTAACAATTATTATTGAAACTATTCTGTTATCTATTATCGGATAGATGACAAATAAAATATTCACAGTTCATAGATATTTAATCATACAAATTTTGTATTTGAAATATTCAGTTCTTAATATGAGATAAAAAAATTTACATTAATTAATGATATAACAAAATCAAAATATATTCCTTAACTGAAAAAATATTAAAATTAAATTAAATTAAGTCTAAAGCCAAATATTAATAATTAATAAGAAATCATTTCTCAAACTTTTTGTCCAATTCCTAAACATGAATTTGAAATTATCCTCGCTCATTTCGAGCGATACATGTCCCAAACTACCAAAGCCAGCAATAGAGCTAAGCTGTATATATACAGCAAGATATGGGATTTTTTTTCGATAGAAGTGTTAACTAAGATGGTTGTTATAAAAAAAAGAAATTGAAACAAAGAGAAAATGTAGTTATAAAAAGTGTTGTATGAATTTATTATATAAATAATTTAACTAAAAAGTGAATAGCAATTAGGGATGTAAAATTTATTTAAAATATAAAGAGTTATATTATTTATAATATATTTTTCTTACAATATATTTTAAGACACATTTTTTTCTCCATGTCATTAATAATTCACTAAACACTTTTTTAACGAATTTTTTTACTCAAATAATACTATTTTTAAAATTTTTTTACTTAAATAGCAATTGTGCAGATTTATTTTTCTAACTAGCACCATTCACTGTTCACATTCAGAACGAACCATTTCAGATTAAAAAATAATACATGACGAATGGATCAGAACAGGTCTTTCCGGATTCAAAATCAACACATAAAATGTGGAACCAGAACGGGCCGTTCTGAATCTGGAACGGGCTGTTCTGAATCCGGAACGGGCTGTTCTAGCCTAAAAATAATTTTTTTTTGTTCAATTTTCATTTATTAAATACCAAAAACTCAGAAACTAATATCAATCAATTAAATTTATTGAATATTAACATTATAAATATAACTAAATAAATTTATTAAAATTCAATACAACAATTAAGAACAATGGTAGCGAAAAACTGATTATGTTGTTCTCTGTTTCCCATCTCTATTTTAATCTTACTGGACTTTGGCCGACCCGCTGGGAAACTAATTATGTTGGCAGAAACTGATTATGTTGCTCGCATGACCCGCTGGGAAATTAATATCAATGCAACAATTAAGATCAATGGTGGCGGAAAACTGATTATGTTGTTCTCTATTGCCCATCTCTGTTTTAATCCTACTGGACTTTAGTCGACCCGCTGGGAAACTTGCCGCAATCACACCACATTACATTTAGCCTTATTGTAAATCTCCCTGCGGGTCATGCGAGCAAGAAATATGAACTTTCTAGAACTTGTCGCAATCATACCACATTTCATTTAGCCTTACTATAAATCTCCTAACGGGTCATGCGAGCAAGAGATATGAACTTTCTAGAACTTGTCGCAATCATACCACATTTCATTTAGCCTTACTGTAAATCTCCCAGCGGGTCATGCGAGCAACATAATCAGTTTCTGCCAACATAATTAGTTTCCTAGCGAGTCGGCCAAAGTCTAGCAGAATTAAAACAGAGATGGACATTAGAAAATAATATAATCAGTTTCCGTCACCATTGATCTTTATTGTTGTATTGAATTTTAATAAATTTATTTAGTTATATTTATAATGTTAATATTCAATAAATTTAATTATTTGATTTTAGTTTCTGAGTTTTGGTATTTGATAAGTGAAAATTGAACAATTTTTTTTTATTTATAGTTCAGAACAGCCTGTTCTGAATCTTCCACATTTTATTGTGCTGATTTTGAATTCAGAACGGTCTGTTTTGATTCATTCGTCATGTATTATTTTTTAATCTGGAACAGTCCGTTCTGAACGTGAATAGTGAATGATGCTAGTTGAGAAAATAAATTTGCACAATTGCTATTTAGGTAATTTTTTTAAAATAGTATTATTTGAGTAAAAAACTCCTTTTATAACCCCTTTTTTTTTTTTTTTTTCTCTCGATCTCTTTATTGTGTAGTAAAATTATATAAGTACATTCTCAAATATAAAAAATTCAAAGACCTACTGTTTTGTATTTGTACCGGTGATTGTATGTTTTGTGTTCTCAAATTAACTGTTGTGCTAGCTAGTGATATGTTGTACCTCGTTTTATTATTATTATTATTATTAAGATCTAGGTCAGCTTTGGGATCCCAACCCCATCCATTTTTTAAAGAGGAAGGAAATATGCATTATGATAATCTCTTTCTTTGAGAATTGCTTATTTGAGAAAGCTAAACGAATAGATGGGCATTACCAAATATATACAAACACCCCCAGCATTATCTGTTAGTTTATCTTGCTGTATTAATCCATTTTGTATTCATTATGATCGTTCCATTTGTCAATTATTAAATTAGACACTACAAGAAAATTGTCATACAGTAACACAGACCCTATAATAACACTATACATGTCACTAAAACTTACTTTTACCCACACAATAATTATAATATATGTTAATATATTATTAAAATGTGTGGGTATAGACTATAGTGACACACAAAATATGTTGTTAAATCTCATTCAAAATCAACACTAAAATTGTGTGTAACTATATGTCAAATAGACATATACTTACATATATTATACCTATAATGATACTTTTTGTATGTTATTATATGTAACATTTCTTGTAGCGAGAGCATACAAGATTGGTTTTTATCATGAATCATGATTAATTATTCGTGTCTCCTAGTGTCCAACCGCATGCTGCATATGACTCTCTTGGTTCACTAATTACCAATACTACATTATACATACGAAGCGTATATATACACACACTTATGGTTTTTTTAATGTTTGAGTAAAAAAACATAAGTGTAGGATTACGTAATGTAGCATCTCTTATTATTGCGTGTGTGTATCAAATTGACAATCTATTTTTGTATAACAATTTCTTGTCTCTATGTTACATGAACCATCTTTTTACATGTTTAGAAAATTGGTAACAAACTCATATATAAAGTAATTTTACATCATCTTCTTACTACAAGTCATTATTTATAAAATTATTAGCTCTTATAATAAATCAGTAAAATGTCATACTACTAATAATATTTAGTTAATTGACAGTATAAAATTATTTTATACTATCTTCCATGATTATTAAACTTATTGTTATTATTATTATTATTTTAGTTGTACAAAAAATTGTACCAATACAAATTATCGATCATAAGAAAAAACCAACAATGGCACTCACTTGCAATTTCAACTAAACTAGGGGTCATTTCGGAAGAAGGTATTCTTCAACTTTAACACAAACTAAAGTGGATTCTCCCATCATTTTCCTTATAAATATATGGTAACCTTGTATGTTTTCTCTCAAAAAACATTTCACCCTTTCAAGTAGAACATCTCATTCATCTTGAGAGAGAGAGAGAGAATGACACATCTACACCACACCATGAATCATGCACCTATCGAAGACCACATGATGCTCATCTCACAGCTATACCCCGATGCATTCACTCAAATGACTCCTCAACAAGGTTAGTTATTACTATCCTTACTCACAACATCTAACATTTTTCTAGCATATATATATTGATTCATTTGTATTTTCGACATGAAATTGAACACCCTTCTTTACATAATTTGTTCATATGAATGAATAGGGGAAAACAAGCCAAAACGCAGGCGAAAAAAGAACAAAGGTGGAGAAAACGGGGGTGTGGGCAGCACCAAGAAAAGAAAGCTTAGCCCGGAGCAACTAAGTTTTCTTGAGCAAAATTTCGTCGATGAACATAAACTTGAATCTCAAAGGAAGGATCGACTTGCATTGGAGCTTGGTTTGGACCCTCGACAAGTTGCGGTGTGGTTTCAAAATAGACGATCTCGTTGGAAGAACAAAAAATTGGAGGAAGAGTACTCCAAGCTTAAGAATGCTCACGAAACCACTATGCTTGAGAAATGCCACCTTGAGACCCAGGTAGCTACACCTAATTAATTACTTTTTATAAGCCTTTCATTACTACCATTGGCCTATAATATTATCGTGCTTAGAACAATTTGTTGGCAACACAAATAGTTTGTGAAAACAATGAGTCAATTTAGCCGAACACAGTCTAAGCTGTGTAACTTTCTTTCTCACAACAATAAGGTCAACTTTGGGCAAGTTTTGGCATGCTTCTTGTTGTTGTAAGGGTGCTTATTATCAATTTCTCAAACTCCCTAAGTTCATGATTTCTCATTCATCAGCGGAGATTTCTTCAACTTCCTAAACTATGTTCTTTTGAAGCAAATTCTTTTTTTTTTGTGTTTTTTTTTTTTTTTTTTTTTTTTTTTTTTTTTTTTTGGATAAGCCAAAATAATTTATTAATAATTTGGGTATCAAAGTTAGCACATGATGTGCCGAAGTTTAGTAAAAGAGGGTGTAAATACAAATATCCAAAATACACACTTCTTTAAAAAATAATAATAATAATTACACAGTTCGATCAGTTTAGCTAGGTAAAAGTTGTTTTGCTATTATGTGTTTTATTTTAAGTAGTTTCCCCACTTACTAGTTTATCCAGCTAATACTTTCTATCAGGGCAATATAAACCCAAAAAAGTTGTTGCCATATGATAGGTTTAAGAGATCAATTATTTTGTCATTAATTAAACTCTAAACATCATACTTTACAATATGATGTAATTATCTTTATTTTTAATTACTTATATATTTAAAAAAAAATGATTTTTGGGTATCCAACTTTTTCAAAAAGAACACACACTCATCATTTTTCTTTACTTTTCTATTTTGATCATATAATATCACTTATAGCACCTATAATTTTCTCTCTTGTATATCTTTCCCACACTAGATTTCCTTTTAAAAACACTTCACAAATTCATTAGCAAAAATAAAATAAAATAAAAAATTGTAGAAAAACATTATTCTAATTAAGTTCGATGGAAAGGTTTTTTAGAACAAGACAGTGGCAAACGATTTGACATGAAACACCAAAAAAGCTAGCATTGTCTTTCGGCCATGGATAGAAGTCCGTACAACATTTGTTTGTGGGCAGACATTGGGCATTGCTTAATGCGCACTTATGAAAAGGCACGTGACGTGTTCAAATACGCTGCATCTCAATGCAACCCAAAAAAAATCTTAACCATTATCTTGGTTTGGTAAGAAATTAACGTTTTCTATATAATTAATGACATCATTAATTCCTGGTATAGGTGTTGAAGCTCCAGGAGCAGCTTTTGGAGGCAAAGAAGGAGATTCAGCAGCTCCTAGAACGCGGTGATAGAGCCCCAAGTAACAGCTCAAGTTCCTCGCACTCACTATCACAGTCAATGGATCAAGTTGTGAACCCTCCATTTCTTGGAGAGTTTAGCGTGGAAGAATATGGTGATGGTGATGTGTTCTGCATTCCTGAGACCCATTACATCGATGGAATGGAATGGCTTAATCTATACATGTGAACCTCAACAAAAACTTAGCATTTTGTAAATAATTTTAATTATCTAATGTAAATTGTTTCCTCTGGTATAGCTTGCAAGTTGGTGTGTTTGACTATGATTTAGGAAGGTCGATCTATGTGCCATTAACATATTTTTTCTCTTTGACTCAACTTAGAATGGTGTTGATTAATATTTATCAATTACATACAAATTCAATAAATTAGTTTATTGGAGAAAAGTAGGAGATTAAAACCTCCACTCATGACTCATCTCTATAGAGAGAGGGAGATAACAATGTGCCAGTTTTTTTTTTCTCTTCATAATCTCTCCTAGAGCCATGTGATTATAGATAATATAGGATTTGATCTTCAATAATGCTTTGTCCTTTGTGAACAGCTAGACTATCCTGATATAGTAGGACTCTTCCTTACCGGGAAAAAACACATAAAGTCAAAGAAATAAAATAAAAATATTCCTTTTGATGAGATGCTATTTGGCTAGTCATGTAGCTAGTCAGTGCATTGAATTCGAACTTCAACTGGTCACCCTCATCTTTCCAAGATAACGACGGATTGATTGTTTGATACCAACATATCTGTTCAAAGAAGTAATGGCTATACGTTTGTTTATACTTATTTTCGTACATGCCGTGTTTAACAAATTCAAATTTTAGGTTTAAGACTAATTTTTTTATTTTTTATTTACTTTTATTTAATTAAATAATTTTTATTTTTATTTTTAATTAATAAAGTTATTAATTAAATATTGATAATTAAAAAGTTTTAACATCTAATGATAATACAGTACACTCTATAAACATATATTGCATACATTTAATAAATTAATTTTTTTAAAATATTTAATATTTCAAACGGAATACTAATTTATTTTGTTGGTAATTTTTATAATTTTAAATTAAAAAAAAATTATGATCATTAATATAAAATTAAGACAATATTTTTTTTTTCCAAAATCTTATTTGTTAAAATTCAGATAACTTTCTTAAAGTGATTTCATATTTTAAAATCTTTTACAATATGGTGTCATGGTGTGAATATAATAAAATAAATTAATTTAATATTTTTACAAAATAATTACAATTATTAAATGTTTTTTTAGAATAATCAAAATTCTTACAATCTTATCACTATCATTTTTATTAATTTTTTATATATATAAATCTATTATTTTTATACAAATTAATTCTTATATTCATTTTATACTACTTTTTTTTTATTGAAATTCAATACAAATGTAAAATAACTTTTAAATTATAATAAAATTTCATAAATTAATAATTTTATTATAATATTTATGTGTGTATATATATAAATTTTAAATAATTGTATGATCTTATGTATTAATCAATTGATTATAATGTAATAAAATATATTATTTAATTATTTATATTAATTAAAATTATTTATTTTAAAAATATATATAAAAAATAAATAAATCAGAACATAGGACTAGGGATCTAAGGCAATGTTCTCAATTGTCTTGCCTTAGTCACACCCTCTTTTCATATAAAAGTGCTTCTTAATAAAATAAGGCATTTTTATTTTGATATGTTTTCTCATATGTTTTTAAATAAGTAATTTTCTAATTTTTTTTTAAAGGAACAACTCTTATCTATTTTTAAAAAAATCATTTTTTTTAAAACACTTTTTTTAAAAATACTTATTTTTAAGTTAAACACACTCACAATTTTCTTAGTTATGTTATATTCATAATTAGAATTTTGATTTGAATTTAAAAAATTATGTTAATTATATAATGTGTTTATAGTCAATATTACAAATTAGTTATTAATTATTTTCAAAATAGATATATTTTCTTACCATTAAAATTAAATTACTAAAATTAAAGTTTAAACTTAAAATCATGTAGATACTATTTTAATATTTTATTACTAAATAAAATACTTCATTTCGATAATACTGTTATTAAAAACATGACGGGTTGTTCAAGAGAATAGTTTTCTTGAAAGGCATTTCCTTTGGTGCAAGTTTATTTTAGGGGGCACCAAAACCCTCTGTGAGTAGGACCACATAAAAGATGACATGTGGTTATTTTGTCAGAACTTGTATTTTTTAATAATGTTTTAATATTTTCTATTTAACCCTCATTAATTATATCCTTTTAAATAATAGTCCCCGATCTATTTAAATATGCTTTATCTTCTTTATTTCCCTTCCTGCCTTTTCATTTTCATTTTTCAATCTTCTCTCGTGCAACTTTGTGGCTCCGGTGCTCTCCCTACGAAAATCTCCATCAAAGTTCAATCTTCTCTCGTGATTCTTTTGAATCTTCTCTGTCGCGCATCTCTGGGTCGGTGCTCTCCCTACCAAAAGCTCCATCAAAGACGGTAAGTTTCCCTTGTAACCTCCGTTCCTATCGTTTTCATTTTCATTTTTTCTCTTCTCTCTGTCGCATCTTCTTGCAACCACCTCTGATTTTTTGTTGTTTTTTGTTTACGATGACCTCCCATTCTCTGTTCTTCGGTGCTCCAAAACCTACTCTCCCTACCAAAAGGTCCATCAAAGACGGTATCTTCACTGTGTACCCTCCCTTCCACATACGACATTTTGTTAGTCATTTTTTTTCTATTACTGTGTTTGCTTCATTTTTATCATCTTCATCTTCGAAATTAGGTTTGTTCTTCATTTTTATGAGGTTACTCTTCGAAAGGGGATTTATTTTGAAGTTTGTTATAAAGTATGAAATGCATGTTAATTTTATTAAAAGGTTTTATTTGTTTTGACTGAATAACAAGTACGTTTATAATATTGTGTATTTTTTTATATTTTTTTTATCATTGTTATGCAGATGGATGAGTTTAAAGAAACGTGTAATTTGAATGAAAATGGTTTTATTGATTGTAACCGTAGTGAGGTTGAAAAATCAATTAATATAGATAGTCAAATTGATGAAGAGGATAATTTACAAGATGAAGGTGATGAAGATGTATACAAAAGTTATCTTGATCTGATTGCAGATGATATTTTTGGATTGGAGTTTGCAAGTGAAAATGTTGCTTAAAAATTTTATTTCACTTATGCTAAGTGTCATGGTTTTGGGATCAGAAAAGATGAGGTAGGTTATGATGATAAGCACAATATTTTGATGCGACAATATTTATGCAACAAAGCTGGATTAAGAGACAAAAAACATTTCATGAGAGATGATAGGAAAAAAGAACATAGATCACTATCTCGTACATATTGTAAAGCAAAGTTACGTGTGCGTTTGGATCGTCAAACCTCTAAATTTAAGGTTGTTTCATTTGAGGAAGGTCATAATCATAATTTATGTGGTTCTAATTTTGTGCAATTAATCCGTACGTACCGTGGTTTGACTTTTGCAAACAAAGTTCAGGTTGATTTATTACATGCCCAAGGTGTTAGGACATGCCATATAATGGGTTTTATGTTGGACCAAACAGGTGGGCATATCGGCCTTAACTTTAACAAAAAAGATTTGTTCAATCATATTGAGCGTAGTAAGCGTTTTAAGATCAAAGATGGAGATGTAGTGGCTGCTTTGAGTTATCTTCAAGGCAAGGCAAATAATGATCCACTATTTTTTTCAAGGTACATGATATCATCTGAGGGTCAGTTGAAACACCTATTTTGGGCTGATGGTACGAGCAGAAGTGATTTTCAATGTTTTGGTGATGTACTTGCTTTTCCTAGTACATATAAGAAGAATAAGTATAACAAGCCATTGGTGATTTTTTCTGGTAAAAAACACCATGCTCAAATTGTTATATTTGGTTGTGCTATTGTTTTTGATGAAAGTATCGAGGCATATAGGTGGGTGTTGGAATCCTTTCTGAATGCAATGTCAAATAAGCAGGTATTTCCAGAAGCAACACCCAGGCTTTGTTCATGGCATTTGCAAAAAAATGTCTGTCAGAATGTTAAGAATAATAATTTTTGGAAGGATTTCAAAAGAGTAATGTACGATAATTATACCCCTGAAAAGTTTGAAAGATTATGGAATGAGTTAGTAGAAAGACATGAACTACAAGACAATAATTGGGTTCAGCAAACTTACCAAAAACGGTTTATGTAGGCTACTGTTTATTTACGTGACAAATTTTTTGCGGGTATAAGGACTACTTCTTTATGTGAAGGTATAAATTCATGCATAAAGTCTTATTTGAAGAGAAAAAATACTATAGTTGAGTTGTTGTACAATTTTGAGCATTCTTTAAGAGATTATAGGTATAATGAGTTGTTGTCTGATTTCAATTCTTTTTATACAGAACCTGTTTTATCCATGTCTTCGCCCTTAATTGAAAAAGAAGCCTAAAAAATATATACCAGTGATGTGTTTAAATTGGTAAAGGTTGAGATTGTTACTGCTGGATCTTTGAATGTTATTGATACAAATGACAATGGTGATAAGGTTACTTTCACAGTTGACAATTATAAGCATCGTCAATCTTTACAGAATGTTGTTTTTGACAAAGATGAGTGCAAATATGAATGTGGTTGTATGATGTTTGAATCTTGTGGCATTCCTTGTAGTCATATTATATGTGTTATGCGATATCAACATGTTCATGTGTTTCCTCCAAGTTTAATATGCAATCGATGGTTGAAGGATGCTAAAAATTCAGTTTATGTCTTATGAGGCAGGGGATAATTCTAATGATATGATTATTACTGCATGGTTTGGGGTTTTAAGTGCATGTTTTAATAGACTTGGTCACTTGGCCTCAAAGAGTCGTGAAAGTTATAATTTCATAAGGAATGAAATTTTGAAGCTTACTGATAAGTTACAAAAAGAAGTTGGTTTGCAGCCCAATGGATATAATGCTAGTAATGATTATTGTGACCCCCTTGTTGTTAAGACAAAAGGTGCCCCATCAAAGAAAAATGTTAAGAAAAAGAGTAGGAAATGTTCTAATTGTAATTTAACTGGTCATGTAGCTTCAACATGTCCTGTCCTCCTTTCCATGGATTATGACTTTAGTTCCAGTGAGGATACTACAAAATTGGATCATGCTGGTGATGAAAGTGTAAGTTATTTATTTTGAAATATCATTTTAGGTAATTAATTTATTTATTTGACACATCAGTTTATATAAGTAATTTATTTTGTTAATTGCAGGAAAATTTTACATCCTCTGATGATGATACTAACAAAGAAGATGGCAGTAATGCTCCAGTGAAGGTATTTATTTTGTTTAATGTATATCTGAAAAAAAAGTTTTAATAGTCTCATTATTTGTATTTTGTGATTAATTTATGAAATTTGTGCTTTTAATCAAATGTACAGAATAAACGAATGGATGATGATTTAAGTATTTCAAAATTGAAATATAAGAAACAAAGGGTTTCAAAACCGAATTTGAAGGAGGAGAACATTGTAAGTGAATTTTATTTTGATATATGTATGTATTAAAATATTAATATTTGAATTTGATTATAATAATTGATTTGTATTATAATATTTAATTTCAGAAATTGAAAGCAATAGATTTAAAAGTACATACAGTTGGTAGGAGCATGTCGTGGCTCAGTGTAACTTTTTCTATCAAATGAAAGTCTGCTTCATTAAATATAATGGATATCATTCTTGAAACATAAAAAATGAATCATATTCCCATACGAGCATCACGTGCGTGAGTTTTATGAAAGTCATTAATATTAAAAAATTATTTAATCCAACTTCTAGCCACCTAAATTGTCCATTCAAATTCTTCAGGAATTACAATAACATGTCATGTTATTTAAGACAGGTGCAAGGGTTCAATATTGGACTATAGGAATTACGAGCTTTAACACAGGAAAACACAACAGAAATCATCCTTCAATGGTGTCTCAAAGCAACAAAAAGGAAAACAAAAAAAATACCTCTCAGACAGATTTGGGTCAAATGTCAGCACGAAAGAAGAAAGTACCCAAAGTGAAGCAGCTGATAAAAATTTCTTCTAGGTTACATGCTTTACATTTATCTTTGTTGGCATCATTTTCTTCTTTAAGAAAAAAAAATATTTCAAATTTATTAACTGACGAATTTTGCAGCTACATGGAAAGTGTACAAAATGATGTTTCTAAGGACAAAATTTCAGCAACTCCAATTGAAATTCCTGAGAAGAAACAAACAAATGGATTAGAAGACACAGTAAAATGACTAGCATCAACAATGGAGATCATGATGGAAGGAATAAATAATCTAACAAAAGTTTTTGCATCTCAAAGTCCACTGTTAACTCCAATGCATACTTATTCGATGAACCAGTTTACACACACCCAATCAAAACGAGATGATCGAGTCTCACCTGTTAGCATACCAATGAATGGAACTGAAATTATTGGAAAATTCAGCACACCTGTCGATGATTCAACAACAGGAAAAAAATATGACAACACAGAAAAAGTTGCTGGGAAACAAGACAAACTCAAAAAAAGGTTGTTTTCATTCACTATAGCAGGAAAAGACAATGGTTTATTGTCTAATTTGGAGCCTCTACATAATACACATTACGAAGGTCTAAATAAGGCAGTAAAAATACCACAGGTATTTCCCTTTGTATAATCTTTTTTTTTCTCACATATTTGTCATATTTCAATAAATTCCTGATATTATAATTTGTTCATTATTATTTTCAGTGGATACCTATGATATTCAATATTCTGAAAAACATGATAGTGGATGATATTCAATCAGTAGTTGCTGCTTATATATTTGGTACAAATAAGGATGATGACAAAAATGGGTAAGTTTACTTTAATATGATATTATCACTTATTATTATTAAAATACTTTAACTTATATAAGTAAAAAAAAAATATTTTATGCTACACACGTAACTAAGTTGTGTTGTAAAATGATTATTAATAGGAGAGAAATAATAATCAGAACAGATGGGCCGCGAGAAATAGTCGGCTACAGAGACAATTTGAAGACACTAATACCAAGAGAGTGGATCAAGATGTAAGCTTCTAAATTTTTATTTATTTATTTTCTAATACATTATTTTTATATTTAAAATTTATAAAGATTTATAAAAAAAATTCAACTATAATAGTTGTTTCATTTATTTATTCATGTTATTAACCTATTCATGTAGGTTCTTATCTTACTTGCTTCCATGCTCACTGAGATTGAAAGATCAACTCCTAACTATACTGAAAATTGGTATTTACCGACTACCGTTGCGGTATGCACATAATATCAACATTTTTTTTCTAATATTACATTTATTAACCTCTTTATTTCATATTTATTACATCAATTTGCTCTAGGTTGGACAACTACACCAAATGTTGTCAGGGACTTTTATCAATTCGAATTCATGGGAAAAATTGATTATTTGTCCAAGGTTTGTAATATTTTGGAACTTTTATAACAAATTTCCCATTCAAAATACTAAATTAATGTCTGTAAAATTTATTAATTTCAGATATTTATTCCGATGAATGACATGAATATGCATTGGTATCTCATGCTTATTGATCTGAACATGCAAAATCTGATTATGTTGGATTCTTGCCCAAACAACAAAAGAAATGCTCATTGAAGCAGAAATGTTAGGAAATTGGTAAATATAATAATTATTTTACAAAACCATTTATTATTTTTTAAAACAAATAAAATTTAAAATTACTAACAAAAATTTATTTTATATCAGGCTATTTTTTTTTGGAAGAAATGTTATTGGATGACTCATTTTATGAGAATGATTTCACCAATAAACCCCAGTTTTTGGATTATACTTTGGAGGTGCCAAAGAACATAGGACAACAACAACCTGAATCGTAAGTAAATTATTTAATTTTATCTTAAATAAATTAGTTTTTATATTTATTATTATTATATTATAAATTTATTAATCAAAATTCTGTTACCACAAATAAACATTGCAGAAATGATTGTGGAGTATTCGTTGTTAAGTGGATGATTGAAGGAGCAAAGACACAAGATTATAAAATAAATGTAATTATTACATGCATATTATCAATTAAATTTCATATAAGTTATATTTGTCACAAACAGTATAATAATCAAATTCTTTCTCATGTATCAGGTTAACACCAAAACTAGGATGCAAATTGCACTAGATTTGGTCCTACACAATTACAACAAAAATTGTAATGAGATCATTAAACTTGCTGCTGCAAATTGGAAGAATCTGCAGGAAGAAAAAAAACGGCTTCAAAACTTTATATGACTGTTGATAAATTATTCGACATCGTCATTTGTTATAATTTTTTCTCCTTTTATCTCCAATTTTGTTAACTGTTATTATTCCAAACTTTGTTACTGGTTCATAATTAATAAATATTTTCATGCATAAATGAACATTGCTAAAATTTGATTATATTCATCAAAATATTAAATCCTATTGTTTAATTATAATAATATAATATAAAAAAATTAACCACGGGATATGCTTTTGGGAATACGAAACACCTTATTATACGGGAAGGTACACAGTTGTGGTTTTGATTTTGACAATGTACAATCATTAATTGGCCACAACCGCAAGTCTTAACGTTTCAAACAAGAACGTGGGCGGAAATGGGGCAACAATCAGTCACTTTAATTTTCTCCAATTCCAACGAGGCAGAAACTGGGCAATAGACAGATAAAGTGTCATCATTTCATCATTCTCTCAACCCTAAACAAATACAACACAACAAGTCACTTTCATCTTCTCCGAAGAATCATCTTCTTGCCACAGTCATCTCAAAAACTTCAAAATCGTTGGTTAGTTAACTTCATCATATTGTAAAGTATGACTGTTCTTCGTCTGTATTCTATAATACAAAATAAAAAAGCACTGTTCTTCATTGCACGTATCCTTAATCATGATTTCATACATTGCATATATTATTTTTGCATTATCTGTTTTTATGTCTACGGTTTAGGGTTTATATTCGATTGTGGAATTGAACCCTTCAATTTACTTGTCTTTCTTCCTGGTTGAAGACATATAATGGACTATTTTAACGACGCTGATGAGGAAAGCCCACCAACACACTTCCGATCTGACGTCTACGCAAATAAGGTTAACTTATTTTATGTTAAATAAAATTAAATAACAAAATTCCATGCTATTCATAACTTATGTTCTTCCAATTTTTTTTTGTTTTTGTTTAGGGTCGCATCTATTTAAATGCAAAATTTTACAAGTAATGAATTTGTAAAATAGAACCAGGCGAGTGTCTCATTACAGAACCACAAGGAAACTCCTTCAAGGTTTACCTGAAAAATTTATGTAAAACTGTTGGTATGTTTAACAAAGGGGTAAATGAAATGGTAGATTTTTATGGTATAAAAAACAAACATATTGATGAGTTTTGGTACAAGGAGTCAAACGAATTTAACTTGCGTATCTTTACTGCTGCTGAAGAGGAAATATCCTATCCTAAAATTAAAAATGAAATTGGCCAGAGTTCTAAAAGGTACATATAAATGCAAACCTATATTTCATTAACTTTAATTTGTTAATTATTTTCTTAACAAAAATTAGTTTCTTGTTATTTTTTCTGTTTTATTTTGTTTTGCTGTACTGTTAATATTCTGTTATTCTCTTAGCTGGCATTGTATATATATACACCATTCACTGTAATAACAAATACTCATTCCCATGCTTCTAAACCTTTTGAACTTTTACATATGGATATTTGGGGACCATGCTCTACTACTTCTCTAAATGGACATAGATATTTTTTAACCATTGTGGATGATAACACACAGTACACTTGGGTTTTTCTTATGGTCTCTAAGGCTGAAACTCGCTCTCACATAACAAATTTCATTGCTGAAATTGAAAATCAGTTTTCTACATCTGTTAAAACTATACAAACTGATAATGGAGTTGAATTCTCAATGTCTCAATATTTTTCTTCAAAAGAAATTATTCATCAAACTACTTGCATTGAAACCCCACAACAAAATGGTATCGTTGAAAGAAAGCATCAGCATCTTCTCAATGTTACTCGTGCATTGTTGTTTCAGTCATCTTTACCTTCAAGCTTTTGGTCTTTTGCTCTTTTGCATGCAACTCTTCTTATAAATTGCATTCCCACCCTTTTTTTGCTTAATAAATCTCCATATGAATTGCTTCATTCTCATCCTTATGATATTAGTCTTCTTCGTGTGTTTGGCTGTTTGTGTTATATTAGTACTATCACTGCACACCGCACTAAACTTGCTTCTCGGGCTCGTTCTTCTATTTTTCTTGGTTTTAAAAGTCATACTAAAGGATACTTAGTTTTTAATTTACACACTCGTGAACTCACTGTATCTCGTAATGTGGTATTTTACGAGGATCAATTTCCTTACTTGCCAAATTCTCACCAAACCTTGTCTTCAGACCCATCATTACCTCTTTTTACTTCTTTTCCACCTGCGCATCCTACTTCTTTTGATCATATTATTACCAACTCTCCTTCTCCAACTGTTCCAGCCATTCCCTCTACCACTTCCACACCTACTTCAAACCTACACGTTCCA